CTTCCGTCAGGCCACTCTGCCATACAGCCCCGACTGGTGGAGGGCTGCAGTGATGGTTGACTTTCTACAACTTTCTCCCATCTCCTGACTGCATCTCTGGAGCTCAGCCACAGTCATCTTTGGGTTCTTCTGTACCTCTCTCACCAAGGCTCTTCTCCCCCGATAGCTCAGTTTGGCTGGACGGCCAGTTCTAGGAAGGGTTCTGGTCGTCCCAAACGTCTTCCATTTAAGGATTATGGAGGCCACCGTGCTCTTAGGCACCTTAAGTGCAGCAGAAATTTTTTTGTAACCTTGGCCAGATCTGTGCTTTGCCACAATTCTGTCTCTGAGCTCTTCAGGCAGTTCCTTTGACCTCATGATTCTCATTTGCTCTGACATGCACTGTGAGCTGTAGGGTCTTATATAGACAGGTGTGTGGCTTTCCTAATCACGTCCCATCAGTATAATCAAACACAGCTGGACTGAAATGAAGGTGTAGAACCATCTCATGGATGATCAGAAGAAATGGACAGCACCTAAGTTAAATATATGAGTGTCATAGCAAAGGGTCTGAATACTTATGACCATGTGATATTTCAGTTTTTCTTTTTTAATAAATCTGCAAAAATGTCAAAAATTCTGTGTTTTTCTGTCAATATGGGGTGCTGTGTGTACATTGATGAGGAAAAAAATGAACTTAAATGATTTTAGCATGTGGCTGCAATATAACAAAGAGTGAAAAATTTAAGGGGGTCTGAATACTTTACGTACCCACTGTAAGTTGCACATCTGCAGCACTAAAGTGGAAGCACATAGAATGCAGTTGCAGAGGATGTATTGAGAAAATGTCCACACAGTTTACTCCAGTGTATTTTTCCTTATCCAACAAACTCCTCAAACTTGTTGGGCTGTTGATGCAGAACATTTAATAAAGCTCTGATCTGAGGAGGGGCTGCATGTATGTCCATTTCTCATTATGCAAGTGTCAAGACTTGAGTAGTGGGATTCCTGGCAAATAATAGAGGAATGACATTGCTTGTTTGTTTTTCCTTAGATGTGAAATGTGCTGAAGCAGGATGGGAATAGCTGGCGGGAGGGGTGGAGTGAAGACGTGAGTAAAAGAACAAGCTGAGCATGGTCGCACAGCGTTCAGAGCCGCTAGGCACAGGTTTCTGTGACTGACAGCCTGCTGTAGATGGGCACATCCCAGTCACACTTTCCTGTCTCAGTGAAATTGCCTCAGTGGTACTGAGACAGTCTGTAGTCCTATTCTTCTTTGCCATTTATATTGTGCCCTGTCTTTTTCTCTGCTATAGCAAAGTTATTCTAATTAATCTTAGCATATCTGTGAGGCAGGTATAGAAAACGTCAAATGTTAAAATTTGAAACGAGGACTCCGATCCAGCTCAGATAGCTTATGGTGAAGTCAAGGCAATGAATTAATTGTGGTTCATGTCTCAGTAGTGAGAAGAACTAGTTTGAGTAACGGGAAGAGGAAGCTGTGATAATGGAAATCTAAATGATTAAAGTGTATGCATGGGGTAGGTGTTGGGGTGGTGTGCAAAACTGTAGCTAAAGCAGCTCTGCTTTAAAGGTTGTGTCATGAAATTCTTTCCAATTCTTCTTCAGTCATTGATTCCTGCAGTAAAAATGTTAGCCTCAGTGCTTTTTTTTTTCAAGCTGCTATTTCAAATGTAGTTGACACATGGACGTGACAAATGAATATGGACAGATAAACTCACTAGGAGGAAATAAATGTGCCAGTATAGAAGCAAAACAAAAAAAGTACAAGGAAATGGTGTCACATAGGAGGAAAAAGAGAGCATACTTTAAAAATATACTGGAGCAGACTATATTTGTTGTAATTCAACACCTTATTGATATTTGTGCCATGGAGACATTGTTTGTGCAATGTATGTTTTGCTTGTGCAAGCTTTGTGAGTGATGTTGATGACAACGCAGGTAGAAGAAGTACTGGGATCCTTTAAGCAGCAATACAACATTATAAAACTGCTCTCTTACCAGTAAGTCTTACTTTCAAAGTACATTTGCATCCACACAAATTATTCATTGTGGTAAATTTAACAATGTATATAATTAGGATTTTAATTTGATACATTATTGTGTACATCACATTTAATGTTGCTGCTGGGGAAGTAGTTAAAGGGGGAGTTAGCTTACATGCTTCTAATGTGAATATTGCTGGTAGCTGGTGAATTTTCTGCCAGAGATCAGTAATCTTATGATTACTGTATTTTTAATTTGATTGTGGAATGTATTTAGTAGCTAAAGTTATAAAGTAATTTTAGGTAAGTCAAAATATGATGTACTCAAAGTACAGATACCTCAAGTACAATACTTGAGTAATATACTTGGTTACTTTCCACCACTGCATGAGAGCAATGCATGCAGACCCACCTGAAGGCAGTCACGTATTTACATGTGTTGAACAGTAAACCAATGTCATACAGCTGATTACTTGCATATGAATAGCCCTAGAAAACCCTTTTTATGTTAATTGAAAGCTTATGTAGTGTAGAGGACATTAAGCACTTGGAGAAAAAGAAATGGGATGTGTATAGGTGTTGCTCTTTGCAAGTTGAGTCAAAATAATTTCTGTCCTTTTATCAGGTCTGTGATCCATGATGCAGTGCATTTTCCAGATTATGGTTTGTCATCACACCATGTGATTTTTGAACAGTTTGGCTTAGGCATCAAAGCTCCATCGCTGTCTGGATGGTGGCAGGTGATGTGATTCAGTACACATGCTTGTTAAAAAGATTATTTCTGAGGGTGTTTATTTGCCTTTGAAGTGTAGTTCATCACTCATATTCCCAGTATGACACAAAAGATATGGCCTATTAAATTCAGTGGGGCTCATCCACTGTCTGCTTGCTTCCTGCGTACCACACACGTGTACACATGCATAATGTACAGATTATATAGACACACATACAGCACCTCAGTGGAGGCATAGACTGAGTAGATATTTCCCTAATATAAAAGCTCATTGCAAAAAAAAAACAAAAAAAAAAACAGTAAAACCAGCCAGCGCTCTGTGAAACTATTTTACAATGTCAGCACAAATGTGACAGTCTCTCTTCACTCTGCAATGAAATTTATGGCCATTGATGACTGATTGCATTTCTCCCCCTCACGGTACTCTGGGCCTTTTGAAAGTAACCCAACAGCACATTAATTTCTCCTAAGTTGTCATTTCAAGTGCGGTGACATTCTGGAAAAGAACTCGGATGAAGAGAGTCTAATTTTAGTAGCATCATCAATGGTGACAATAAAAATGTCTGCAAATCACAATTCAGACATGTTTAAAAGAAAGCAAAGCTTCTGTAAAGTGTGAGCTTGTGTAGGCTTTTATTTCTGTGTAGACTGTATACAGCATGTGTAACGTCTACACCAGGCTGTTTTTCTAGTAACTGAATCAACCATGCCATTTCATTTATGCTGTTATTCTTGTAGGA